ACGATGTATTTTTTACCTACTATTGTCCAGACATGATGCTATGGAAAAACTCGAAAGTGTTACCAACTTAGCATAATATGCCATAATATACGCCGCCCCCAGGACTTCAATGGTTCTTCCGGGAGGCAACCGGGTGCTGTCTTCTGTACGCGGTTTTTGGAGGCTTTCGATTCGAGAGGCGTGGCTAAGGAGTAGGGGTTTGGGTGTGTGTTTTCCTTGTTTTCAGAGGGTGGGTGGGGTTTGGGTTTCAGCGTTCAGGATGTTAAGGTTTAGGGTCTAGGGTCGGGCCTACCAGCTTGATTGCATGTGTGGGCGTGTAGGACGAGCATGTGAGCCCGTGTGTGAAAACACACGACTATCTTGCGAAGCTGTGACTGTGATTCGGCTTTTGTCCGTCCGCGACGCTTAGGCACAGGGGAAGCTCCTCCTCCTCCTCGGAGAACGGGAAGACTCAGGCTGGCTCGGCTACGTTCCGATTTAGACTTCCATGATATTCCGTCCGTTTGACATCAATCCAACCCCTACCATCGGCAGCACAAGCTGCACAACAGCTGCTATCGGCAGTGACTCGATAGTCACGGCAAGAGCAACAGCAACCGAGCGGCCACGAGTTCCGGGCCTCCTGCTGCTACCCCTTGTCAGAGTAACTTGAGATGAGAGCCCCGACAGCGCATAGAGAGAGCATTGTGACGGCAGTGCACCGGCTTCTTGCCGTTGCTCACTTGCGGAGGATCGGTTTTTTGAGCAGAATCTCAGAAGGGATTGAATCTGTCCAATGGGTCTGCCGGCCGTGAGCGCGCAATTGAATTGATCTGTCCACCTCGTCTGCGACTTGTCACCATCGCTGCCGATGCCGCTCGGCACGACTGCTCGGACGATGACGACGCTAACCCTGCACTTTTGGTACTGCCAGCCGCATGGTCGTACGCGGTCGTATGCATAGCATCATCATCATCATCATGAGTGCAACGGTCATTCCTTCACAACATGAGGGTGGCATGGGCATAGTTGTAAGGAGAATAACTGTGCGAGGCACAGCGAAGTTTGCAGCCGTAAAGTCAGCAAAAGCAGTTCCAATGATGGCCAGGAGAACGGCTCGTTAGACATCAACAACTGCCGAGCCGAGGTGCGCATTTTTGGGGGTGCCTCATCATAATGTTATAGTATAATGGGCCCCAAAACCCTATTTGAACTATTCAGGCCCCGATATTACATGACACTACTTTCTGGGCCTGAATAATGCGAAAGAGGTTTTGGGGGTGTATTTATAAGCCTTCATTCTGTGGAAGCTGTGAAGGGATCGTAAGTGCATCTGGCAAGATCCAGAAATAAGGCTGCTCAACAGATATGGATTTAAGAGTTTTGAGGCTCAGGTTTAAGGGTTCTAGGGTTTAGGACTTGTGCAAGGCCTTGAAGCTTTATCCTCGTTCCGAGCTTTTACACAACTTGGAGCAGCAGCGGAGTTAAGCCTGCACAAGATTCCTGACAGAGAGACTGGCTGGTTGGCGAGCTACGGTACTCGCAACAAGAACACAAGCTTCGAGTAGTTTTGCTATGGTCATGCTTCGCTTGTTCGGCCCTGCCCTCATCATAGCTGCAGCACTGTCATTTGTCCAGCGCCAGCCTCTGTTACCGTGCACTCACAGAAACCTTCTGCAGGTTAATGGTGGGAAGCAGGCCGCGTGATCGATCTGCTCTTGAAGGGAGGGCCAAGGAATCTTGGGGATGAGACTTGGAGTGGAGATTACCAAGAGTAACGAGTATAGTAGTAGTAGTAGTAGTAGTAGTAGTAGTAGTAGTAGTAGTAGTAGTAGTAGTAGTAGTAGTAGTAGTAGTAGTGGTAGTAGTAGCCAAGGGAAACGAGTCGTGTTGAAAGTGACACTAGTAACAGTAGCAGTGGTTGGGAATGGTAGTGGTCGTCGTCACCGTAGCAATAGTAGTCATGCTACGTCGTAGTTGTCGTAGTAGTAGAAGAAGTAGTAGGAGCAGTAGTAATGGTAGTCTTAGTAGTAGTACGGTTAACAGTAGTGGTAGTGGTGGTAGTAGTAGTAGTAGTAGGAGTAGTAGTAGTAGTAGTAGCAGTGGTAGCAGTAGCAGTAGCAGTATTAGCAGTAGTAGTAGTAGTAGTAGTAGTCGTAGTCGTAGTCGTAGTCGTAGTCGTAGTCGTAGTCGTAGTAGTAGGAGTAGGAGTAGGAGTAGGAGTAGGAGTAGTAGTAGTAGTAGTAGTTGTAGTAGCAGTAGTAGTAGTAGTAGTAGTAGTAGTAGTAGTATAGTAGTAGTAGCAGTAGTAGTAGTAGTAGTACTTGTACTTGTACTAGTACTAGTACTAGTACTAGTACTAGTACTAGGAGTAGCAGTTGTGGTAGTAGAAGCAGTAGCAGTAGTAGCAGTAGTGTAGTAGCAGTAGTAGTAGTAGTAGTAGTAGTAGTTGTAGTAGTAGTAGTAGTAGTAGTACTTGTACTTGTACTCGTACTAGTACTAGTACTAGTACTAGTACTAGTACTAGTGCTAGTACTAGGAGTAGCAGTTGTGGTAGTAGAAGCAGTAGCAGTAGTAGCAGTAGTGTAGTTGCAGTAGTAGTAGTAGTAGTAGTAGTTGTAGTAGTAGTAGTAGAAGTAGTAGTAGTAGTAGTAGTAGTAGTAGTAGTAGTAGTAGTAGTAGTAGTAGTAGCGACAGGTACTAGCAGTAGCAGTACTAGCATTAGTAGTAGCACAAGTAGCAGTGGCAGTGGCAGTAGCAGTAGCAGTGGCTGGCAGTAGCTGGCAGTAGCAGAAGCAGTAGCAGCAGCAGTAACAGCAGTAGCAGCAGTAGCAGCAGTAGCAGCAGCAGTAGCAGTAGTAGTAGTAGTAGTAGTAGTAGTAGTAGTAGTAGTAGTAGTAGTAGTAGTAGTAGTAGTAGTAGTAGTGGCAGCAGTAGCAGTAGTAGTCGCAGTAGGAGTAGGCGCAGGAGTAGGACTCGGAGTTGGAGTAGGAGTAGGAGCAGGAGTAGGAGCAGGAGTAGGAGGAGTAGTAGTAGTAGTAGTAGCAGCAGGAGTAGCACCAGTAGTAGTAGCAGTAGTAGTAATAGTAATAGTTGTAGTAGACAACAACAACTACTGCTGCTACTACTGCTACTGCTGCCGCTGCACCTGCGTCCGGCTACTGTCATAGTTTAATCGCACTCATTAGTGCTAGAACTTGTCATAGCAAGAGCAATTGTAATGCTAGCAACTAAGGCTGATGCGTTAGGAGTTGCCATGGAGCCAAGATCGTGGACCCCGGACTCATACACCGTAGACAATACCTGCCGAACGAGCCTGTTTTGTGCGATGCTTCCATTCGAAAGCCAGGAATCAAGCCACTTTGTTGTTGTTGTTGATGATGCATACTCGATGTACTGTAATGGTGATGATGATGACGACCACGACTATGATCCTTCCCTACTGTAAGCAATCCTCACATTCCAGCCTTCCCGTGGGCCGCTCCGCCGGCGTTTCACGTGTTAGAGCCTTTCGGCTTGGACGCTCGAAGAGCTGCCCCAAGAGCCGCAAGGGTCAAGAGGACCTCAAAAGGATGCAAGGTTCAACCCGTTCCCGAGATCCCCAGCATGGTCCAGCCGTAAACTGCGATAGGCATAGAGCGATTTAGAGAAGCTCCCCCAATGAGCCCAGCCGCCCGAAGAGTGGCCAAGGATGGCGACCTGTATCCTTTGGCAATGGCAACTGGCAAAGCCTAGTTGCGAGAAGGAGGGGACATCAAATAGAAGAAATCAACACACCTCCACGGGACAATTGGCCCCAACGTGGATGGATTCAGACGCCAAGAACGTGGACTACGTTACAAAGCTCTACATGACCATGCCACTATATCACACCCTATCTTTCTCTTAAACCCTATTAACCATATACTGCCAAAAGACTTAACAGGGGGCGTCTTTCCGAAGGCTTTGAAGCCCCGTGGAAACCGTTAATGCCTGGAGCTCTCCCAGGGAGAGACCCGGAGTCGGCTGTGGAACTCTGGAGGGCCAAGAGGCTAAGGGCTTTTTAGAAAGGTATAACTTAAGGTGAGGGGGTTTAGGTGGTTTAGGGTTCGGGGATCAGAGGCTTACTTGGGGTCTCGGGATCATGTGGTCATGTCGGGCTTTAGGAGGTGTCCCCCTCAATGACCTTCACCATCGCATGTTCGTTGTCAACAGTCCTTCTGAGCACGTCAGAGGCCTACACGCTGCCGCCAACGGTTGCAACTATGCATGATCAGAACTGGCACTAGACTGATATACAATCGGTTCAATGTCTTCATACCTTTCAACGATGAGGTTATGGAAAAGGCCCGTGTTCCGCAGTCCGAAACTGTTCGTTGCTCGTTGGTCTGCAAGACTGACACGTTTCGAGTGAGCGCCGCAAAATCGGAGAGCTACGATGGTGCAGTGGTGTGAGTGGTTGCCAGGAGTAGGTTCTTGAGTAGCGGCGGTAGTATCGAGAGACTTGAGACTGTGAGCATGCGCTTCTTCAATCGAAAGCCCCAAGGCCTCGCGCAGAAGGTGTAAGCTCGAGAACTGACTTGCCCCCGGCTACTCCGTGCTGCAGCCCTGGGCTGAGAAGCCAAAGCGTTGACGTGGTGGGCGGCCCCGCAGAAAGCGCTTCTAGAAGGCCTCGGAGCAGAGAACATATTCTGCACAGCATGCAACAACATGGCAGCATGACGATGATGACGGTGGTGATGATGATGCTGATAATGATGACGGAGGCGATACCGACAACGATGACGGAGATGGACATGGTTGCAATTTCAGACAGGGAGTTCTAGATGCCATTGCTGCACGTCCAGTTTCATGATACTGGAACCAAGCCTCCTGCTTCGGTACAGCTCGCAGATCTCGTGGTGCTTGGATCTTCGGTAGACGACGATCTTGCCAAAAGATGGGTTTCGAGGGGGAGCTCCACCTCAAGCCACGCAGATGTCTGCTTGGGGGAGAGCATCGGCAGTCTTTCTCGCCCCGCCTTGACCCCGTGCCAGGGCAGTATGGCGGCCTCATGGCAAGGCCACTTCACCTCGAAGTCTGTGTTGTATTTGGAAGGTTTATTCTGATGTGGTCCCCGGGACAAGCCATCTGAGGTTCTGCTTTATTAATTTGGATTCCGAGATTTGTTCCGGGTGCATGTATCTGCTTGTCGAGTTTTGTGGACGCTTAGTCTCAGCCCTGCATCTTGAACCCCAGATCCACCATTCATCGAAGCCCTAAAGTTTGAAGCCGAACTTCCGCGCAACACTCTGGAGGTCGCCGGCATGGAGGGTGCCTCCTCTTGTTGGCCTCCACCCTCCTGGCGTGGCACCCAAAGGACTAGCGCTAAGATGCGGAAGTGAAAAGACGCATTACATTTCTTTTCATATGTTTTCGCTTTATTCAAATTAAACACATCACGAAACCCAGAAATTCCGACATCTCCCATCGATTACCAGGATTTTTTGTTACCTTTAGGATTCTCTCCACACCCCAGGAACCAACCGCCAAGTGACCAAGAACGGCCTGAGTTTTAGTGTGTGGGTGAAGTGGTTAAATTACAGGAGAAAGACAATGCAGTGAAACGAAGCGTGCACCTGCAGTGGAGAAGAGGATAACATAGGGGCCTTAAGTACCAAGACTATTTTTAGGGGCTAATTATTCTAATTATACTAGAATATCCCGCAAACCCCTATTCTAGTCATTCAGGCCCCTTTTCTTATCTCCTCCGAGCTTCATCCTGGAAGCTTCCTGAGGTCTTGGCGCACAGACAGCTGGATTTCCTCTCCGTCTCCAGGCAGAGCTCCTCTTAGTACAGGGGCCTCAATAATTAGACTAGGGTTTGGGGGTACATTATACTGTACAGACTCAGAATAAGGAACCACCCCAAAACCTTATTCTAAGTATTAAGGCCCCTGCAATACACGGTGAAGCTGCTTGGCCTGGTTGGGCCCTGTATCATCATGACGATCAGACAAGCCAACCTAGCAAGCTCGACCAGGCGTCCAATCTGTGGACAGAGACGGGACCGCAAGAGAACCTAAATCCCCAAAACCCGCAAGTGATGGTTTTCGAACGGAGGCCGCAGCTGTCACCCCGCTCGGCGCCTGTCAACGGCAGATTCGTGTCAGGCGGAGAGAAACTGGTGTTCGTTCTGACTAGTAATGTCACAATTCCTTTGCAGTTGCATTGCAGCATTATCGTTTTTGTGAGGCCTTTCGTGCTAATTGTCGTAATAATCTTCGTATTCGTATCCTGTGGTACTGTTACTACAGTTGTGCTGTTGTTCTCACCGCTTCTCCTTGTTCTTTGCGTCTCAATGACTAGTAGTGAACGGACTAATAGCAACCGGAACCGACAGGAACCATGCATGTTCGCAGCAGTACAAAGAAACACTCCCGTGTTGTGGTAGCAGCAAGTGGACTGACAGGCAGTATAGGCATAGGTCATGGTCGCAGGTAGCATGAACCGGGGGCTAGCTTTGATCCAGAAAGTGGGACCTCAGAAGTTTTGGAACTCTGAACCAACCTTGAACCCCCCGCGAATGCACTCAGACCGTCTGTACATGTGCAGCAGCAGAGTTTTTTTCATAGAGTTTTACTGCATTGTGGACAGGGGGTGCCACGGAAGCCCGAGAGCCGATGGTGGCTCGCAGGGGCCTCAAATACTGCAATCGGGGCTCTCACGATCTCAGGAGGGTTTAGGGTTTAGGGCCTAAATAATTACCGAAACTATTCTGGGGGATCATAGCTGGAGTAGACTGGGCCCCAAAACCCTATTCTAGTTATTAAGGCCCCTATATTACACGCTCTTGGGTTCTCGCGACTTTCGGAGGGTTTAGGGTCTTGGGGCTTAGGCTCAGGTGGATAGAAAGAGTTCTTGCAGTAGTCCTGGTGGTGTGGCTGGCCTATTGCAGTAGGTGGTGTCGCTGGTGGTTTGAGGGGTTCTGGCAAAGCTTGTCATGTAGGTTGGTGGTTTCAGATATTCTTGTAGTTGTAGTTGGCGCTGTTGCTGCTGCAGTAGTAGTGATAGTAGTCGTCGTAGCAGTAGCAGTAGCAGTAACAGTAGGAGTAGCAGTAACAGTAGCAGCAGCAGTAGTAGCAGCAGTAGTAGTAGGAGTAGTAGTAGTAGTAGTAGTAGCAGGAGTAGTAGTAGTAGTAGTAGTAGTAGTAGTAGCAGTGGTAGTAGTAGCAGTAGTTGTAGTAGCAGTAGCAGTAGCAGTAACAGTACCGGTAGCAGTAGCAGTAGCAGCAGTAGCAGTAGCAGTCGTAGTGGTGGTGGTGGTGGTGGTGGTGGTGGTAGTGGTAGTGGTGGTAGTAGTAGTAGTAGCGGTATTAGTAGTAGTCCTTATTTTCACTAGCCCATGGCCGTCATCATCATCATCGTCGTCTTCATCATCATCATCATCATCATCATCCTCGGTGTCGTCGTGATCATCATCGCTACCATTGCCTCTAGTTTCACGAGCATCCCAAAGCATTCCAAGGCGGCACTACCAAGTACACGTACACTCCAAAATGCCGTCAGTGCACGGGGAATTCTTGAAGTCGCACTGCTCCAACCAGCCAGGAGGTGACGGAGAGGTGGTGGAGAATCCTATTGCGATCCCAACGCTGCTCGCGATTGTAGGAGGCAGTCTCCTTCACTTGTCTGTTCTTCCAATCTTCCCAAGTGTTTGTTTCAGGATTTGTTTATGTTCGGGCCATATCCATCGGATTTGTGTGATGGGTGATCTGCGACGGCAGAGTGCCCCCTTCGCTCACTTTTGCATGTCTGCTGTGCCACTGTAGAGTGGCCCCCAGCATCCAAGCAGAAGCACCCCAAACCCTAAACTCCAAGAAGCAAACCAGCGGTTCGCGTTGGAATTCGAAGATGAGAGATGCGACCTGGCGAGGCCTGGCAGTGGGCGTTGCTTTGGCCAGGGCTATCGAAGTTGCTGGAACCGCTTCCCAGGACCACTGCTAACAGGCTTTGAGTTTAGCGTTAAGGCATGGTCCGTCGTCATTCTGCTGCTGCCGCTGCCTTCTCCCAGTTTGTCGTCCTCGTCGTCGCCTCCGGTGTCGTTCTGCTCGTCTTTGTCGTCATGCCCCCCTCCCTCCCTGTCTCTTGCTGTTTCTGTTGCTGCAGTGTGAGAGAGTGTAAAATCTTGCTGTACTTCTATTGGGTACATCAGATGCATCCGTTTTTGCTCGGATTCCGGATGGGTGGCCACGAGGCTGCCATTACGTCGACGGCACGTTCTTTTTCCTGTCGGTCCCTGGCTTGTCTTGAACTAGTCTCTGCAAGGAGCGAGGCAACGTTAGCGAGGGCCTGAAGGCACAGCTGTCTGCGGATGCAGGCCATTCTGCACCCGACAGTTCGAAACATCCCGGAGAGGAATCGTGCCGGAACTTTCAGACAGTTGAGTGTCGTGATTCCGCGATTAAGAGGGAGGGCAGTTGCATGGTACTGCTACTTGCACTTACTCCTCCGGTCCCAGAAGCTTCAGCTATGTTCAACCACAGGGACTGGATGCCCGGGAGCAGTTCTTCACCATGAGCAGTTGCCAAGAAGTGTTTCAGCGTAAGATGGCCGCCTGGATATCCTTGGCAGGGTTTTGTCCGGGCAGCTCGTTGCGGAAAGCTGATCTCTAGCTCCGCCCTGAGCCCGTTGCAAGCAGGTATGGAGGATGTCGAGGATGATGACTCCGGCGGGCGCTCTGTCATCCCGGCTCACTTGAGAGTCCTTCAACCATGTGTAGGTTTTGTCGACCTTGTTTGGGATGTTTGTGGGGCTTAGTTTAAGTCTGTTACTTCATGAAGATTATGGCTTCCGTTCCGTTGTGTCTTCACTTATGTTCGTTGGGCTAAGCGGCTAACTACTACTTGTGAGTGCTACTAGGTACTGTTCTTAGTTAGGAAGTACGGCTCGTCAATTACTGTAGGTATTATGAACATCATAGCGATTTTAGTGTTCAGTCTTTCTCGTGCCTTGTAGGAGTCTTGACTTCTGGACCACTCCGCGCTTCCCATGGCAATCATGATCATGGTACTTGTTAGTATGGTTGCTGCGACTCCATGCATTGCAGCCATCACCGCACTTGCCGTTCATCTTCGCATCCACAATCCACCGTCGTCAGAATCATCATCTCGGTCGTCATCATCATCATCATCCTCATCCTCATCTTTCCTTCATGGCCATCATCATCGTCATCATCATCAGCTTCTTGTATCATGTCGACGACGCCTTGCTACTACGACTCCGTGGTTGTCATGCTTGACATGACGTGCAGAGCGACTGACACCGTTTGTTTTTGTTTTGTATATTTTTTGTTTGTAGAGTACATGGTTACAGCGGAAGTGCCCCGTATGCTTGTTCGTCCTTGCCATGAATACTGCTTTGTTTGTTTGTTGGCTTGTTTGTTGCACTTGTCTGCATGTTCATGTTTCTATGCTCTGAACATTCCTGAAAAGTCGCACATGGCTCAAATGACCTGTTCGAACATTCTCCTCAAAGCATTACCCTGAATCCTGAAACCTCAGTCCACGAGCTTCTCAGCGCAAAGTAATGCAGGAGCTCCTCGAGAGCATGAAGAAGGCGCAAGGCATCAGCGAGGAAGAGGTGCCGCAGTAAGTGTAGTTGTTCTTTCGATTTTGCTGAATATGTAATATATGCACATACATACGCACGCGCGCACACGCACACACACACACACACACACACACACACACACACACACACACACACACACACACACACACACACACACACACACACACACACACACACACACACACACACACACACACACACACACACACACACACACACACACACACACACACACCACACACACACACACACACACACACACACACACACACACACACACACACACACACACACACACACACACACACACACACACACACACACACACACACACACACACACACACACACACACACACACACACACACACACACACACACACACACACACACACACACACACACACACACACACACACACACACACACACACACACACACACACACACACACACACACACACACACACACACACACACACACACACACACACACACACACACACACACACACACACACACACACACACACACACACACACACACACACACACACACACACACACACACACACACACACACACACACACACACACACACACACACACACACACACACACGAAAAAAAGGGAGCAAGTTCCGTTTGAGCTGGGGGCAGGCTTTGGACTGGAGGCATTGTGTGCAAGAGCATTTTCAACTCGAAGTTTTTTGGAGGGTTCAAGACAGTTCCTACACGTAGCCGGTGTTGGTGCCACGTTGCGAATTGTTAAAGTTCTTGATCCTGAACCTGAACTTAGCACACAAACCGAACACCATCAGCCCTTGATCATTCGTGTTCACGTGTGTTAAGGCGAACTTGAGCGAAACCTCTTTCGTGTAGTCGCTGGTTTCTGCTCAGGGTGTAGAAATGACCTGCACCTGGTGTCGGAAGTTCACTGTAGAGTTACGGGCCATCGGCGATAATCACAGTTGTGGAGTCTGCCGTACTTTAGATCGTCTTAGAAGCGTTTGTTCCCGACTTCCCGATTCTTGTGGGCAAGATGCTTTGAATATCTTGCGCGATACTGAGGTCAGACTCCGCGACTGGGTTGTCTTTAAGAGCCCTCCTGGGGGGTCGTATGCTCGTGAAACCACTGGGAATCCGGGTGACAGCCTGGCTAGCACATTGCGTTTGGGGGGTGTCGTCCAACGTAGCTCTACGGGCCCTGAAGATCGTGCTCAGTTCAAGGGTTCAGGGTCTAGCTCCGCAGCGCCGCCATCCAGAGCGCCGATTCCGCGAGCTCGGCCGAGCGAGAACTCAGGGGCTGCAAACAACCCGTCATTTGAGCTGCCTGGATCTCTGATTGGTGAACCAGCGGAACCCTTGACTCGTCCTCCGAAGCGGAGGAAGAAGAACAATCGAGGGCAGACCAGGCGAGTGTGGCAGCAAGCTCGGGTTGACCTTCACGTGGCCCGGCTACATCCAACTGTGAACGAAGAGGACGAGCATTTCTCCGAAGAGGAGGATTATCCGGACGACCTTGAGTGAGGACTGGGGGTTTCCAAAAGGGTCAGTTGTTTTCCGACTGTCTATCAGGATTTTATGCGCGGCATTCTTAGACGACCAGCTTCACGCTCCCGTTCACGAAAACCTGTACGGTCCCCTTCTTTAGGTGGCGGTACGGGTAAAAGAGTACGCAAGTTCATCAACTACCAGGGCCGATTCGAGGCTGGAAAAACTCAAGAAGTATCAGTCCTTCCATTGAGCTTCTGGCAGTTCGGCGAAGTCTACCAGTTCGGAGGGGATTATTGGGGAAAACATTGCAACGTTTCAGGCCGCCTGGAGTATATCACTTTGGGCAAAGCTGGATACGTTGCTACCCTGTTGCTCCGTGGTACAGACAATACAGATCTCAAGCAGTGGTCGGAGTCATGTCACACGTCAGGGTATCCTCCAGAGATAACCGTCCACCTCTGCCCCGTAGGTTGCCCGAAACACGGGATGTCAACAGGAGGGATACACGGCCTCACGGTCGTCAAGGAGGACAGCTCCGCTCCATGGGCATTGAACGTTGCCGAGCTTCCAGTGGGTCTAGAGGGGGCCGGAGGGCTAGAGAAAGAGCTAGCCGATTTGAGCAGGTTTCCAGAGAAAGAGGCCCCCAAGGGCTCCAAACCCGTAGTCACTGCGGGCATGGATGTTCGCGCATCCATCAAGAAGGGCAGCGCCACTTTCGAGGACGGACCCCTAGATCCACGCCAAAGTGTTCGACGTATCCTAAAGAAGCGAAAGAAGAAGAGCAAGAAGAAGAGTCGCAAAGACAAGAAGCGCACCCGAGCCGAGCATTCCAGTCACAGCAGCCGCAGCAGCGAGAGTGGGAACAGCAGCAGCGGGGTATCATTAGACTCCCAGGACTCGGGGCATCCTTTCAAGGAAGGTCACCGAGTCAAACAACTAGCGAGGAAACATCCAGGTCTTTTGACGAGGCACGCCTTGGACGAGATGTCTCGACTGTTGGTACAGCATGCAGGAGAGATGAGCGATCAGACAGTGTTGCCTCTATTCCTGAAGTATTTGCGCCTACATGTGACGATGCAAGGGATGTCCGCTGCCCAAAAGCGGGAGTTGGTCACCTTGGGGACCGTAGCGGATCGTTTGATTCAAAGGGACATACTGGGAGGATTAGACATACTCACGCAGAGAATCAAAGCCATAGAGATGGTAGTCGGCGGGGCCAGTTGGAGTGTGGCACAGAATTTGGAGTTGGTACCCCTAGACAGCGAGAAGCTAACCAGCGTGGCCGAAGCCCAAGGAGCCGTTCGAGAATTCAGGCAGGATTGGAAAGCCAAGAGGGATACAGGAAAGGGGCGGCCTTGGGCGGCGATGGAGATTGGAAAGGGCAAAGGCGACAAGGGAAAGAAAGGGGAATGGCGCAAGGGCGGTTGGAAAGGGGACAAGACGCCAGCTGCCAAAGTGGAGCCAACCAGACCCTCCCAATGAAGGGGGGTGCGCGGGCCGATGGCCCAATCTTTTCCCTTCCTGATCGCGATGGCTTGTCAGGAGGGGCCCCTATGGAAGGGGCTTCAACGTCAAGGCCCGACTTGGTCAGTCAGATTCAAGACTGGTTGCAGCTTCCTTGCGATTCGTTGTCCTTGAGTGCCGTGATTTTGAGTGGGATTCTGGGCAGTGTGGATTGTGGTTTATCGCATTTGGTTTTACATTCCAGCGGAGTTGAGGAGGAGACGACGGCAGGGGAGAAAGAACAGAGGAAGAGAGACCTTTTTCCCCTGCCCCTGCCCGGAAAGAGTGCACTGCAGAAGCACGTAGACGAGAAAGACTATGTGCCAGTATGGCTCTATCTGGTTGTCAGTGGGCTCAACTATTTACATGCTGGGAGGCATGGGAGCGTCACGATTGGGAATGCATCACCTATTCAACGTCAGATTCTGGAGTACCTTGAAGGCAGAGTGCAGGTATTCCTGAAACATCGCTTTGATGTTGAACGGTTTGATTGGAGTAAGTTTCTCAGTACACGAACTTTGAGCTATGGGGGTGAGGAAGTCCGCACAGCAAAGTGGACAACGTGGGCCAACTTGGAGCCTGCTCTCCCCTACGGAGCGATTGGGAAGATTCCCGCGGTGGATTTGGCAGAAGGGGGTGTTCTAGACGCTTTGAGACACCCCGAGAAGTACCTCAAACCGGGATGGGAGTCTACCAGGGTTCGTAGCTCCAGGGTGATGGTTGAAGAGTCACATTGGCCTGAACTTTGCCATGGTTTAGTTCGCTACAATCTGGTATCCATCATTCCTCATTCCGCAGTTGCTCGCGCAGGGGGCCATCTGGTACAGAATGGTCTTTTCGGTGTTGAAAAAGGAGAGCTTCACGAGGGAGTTTGTGTGCACAGGTTGATCATGAATCTCATTCCATACAACAGCCTTTGCCTCAACGTGGAGGGTGATGTCGGCACTTTGCCGCTCCTGCATCAGATGAATGCTCTTCAGCTTCACCCACATGAAGACATGATAATCTCTAGTGAGGATGTCCGATGCTTCTTTTATGTCTTCAACCTGCCTGAGAGTTGGCTCCCATTCTTGACGTTCAACAAACCGGTGCCGTCAGATCTGGTGCCCCCTGGAGTGGATGAACCATGTTACCTCGCTGCGAAAGTGCTTCCTATGGGGTTCTTGAACAGTGTCGGTATAGCACAGCATCTCCACCGTAATTTTCTGAGCCGTGTTCAAGGGTCACCGTCCAGAGTCTTGGGGTACTCCGAGATTCGCAAGGACAGAAGCTTCACTCTTTCGAACCCTGCTTGGCGCGTGTATCTTGACAACCTTGATGTTTTGGAGAAAGTGTCTCCCAGCTTTGTGCCTTTACTTGAAGGGCGTGTTTCCGATGATGTCAGTCCCTTGATTGCCGCTTATCAGCAAACCGGAATTCCTTTGAACGCAAAGAAATCTGTCAAACAGCAAAGCCGTGCCGAGATGCAAGGGGCCGACATTGATGGGATAGAAGGCACAGGTCGCCCCAAGGCGGAGAAATTGGGGAAGTATGTGAGCGCAGCACTCTCCTTGCTTAGGAAGGGCAGCTGCAGCCAGAAAGAGATTCGCATTGTCGCCGGAGGTTTAGTCTATTTTTCCATGTTTCGCAGGCCTTTGATGAGCTGTCTCAACTATGTTTGGCAGTTTATTCAGAGCTTTGAGGGGCAGCGAGTGGGAAGATTGGCTATTCCAGGAGCGGTGAAATCGGAACTCTTCATGTTCCTGTGCTTGTTGCCTCTCGGTCACTTCGATTTCCGAGCACCTTGTTCAGACATTGCAACTGCGAGTGATGCGTCAATGTTGGGGGGCGGCGTCTGTGCATCAGATGGAGTGACTCAGTTTGGCGCCAGTGTCGCTGCACTTCCCTTCAGGGGTGAAACATTACACGAAGTCCCGGAAGGTGGTGTGGTTTGCGTTGGTCTCTTCGATGGGGTGTCGGGTCTCAGAGTGTCTTTGGAGGCCATTCGTGCTAGGATATGCCTTCATGTTTCAGTTGAGACCAACCCCGAGGCCCGGCGTGTTGTTGAAAGCGCGTTCCCAAACGTGGAGTTTGTGGATCAAGTTGAGGACATTACGCCAGATCTTTGCCAAAAATGGGCGGCAAAGGCGTCTTCTGCAAAGATTGTCATAGTCGGCGCAGGGCCACCTTATCAGGGCGTGAGTTCTGTCGGCAAACAGGACCAAGCAGAGATTGATGGACAGCCGTTAAACTCTCTGCATGTCTATGTCAAGCCCATTGTTCGCATGTTGGAAAAGGCGTTCACTTGGACCAAAGTCCACTTCTTGCAAGAGAGTGTTTTCAGCATGAGTGCCAAAGACAGGGGTGCCTACACCAAGCAGGCCGAAGTGCTGCCTTACATGATTCCAGCCTCTGGTATCTCGCCCACTCGACGTGATCGCTTGTATTGGTTTGACTGGCCACTGGAAGGCTCGGAGTCAATTTTGCTTTATCCTCCTCCGAACTCTCATTCGACCAGTTACGGCGAGGTTCAGTTCAAAATTGATTTGAACGCCGTTGGCATCCTTGAGCCCGGGTGGAAATTCCATGACGACGTCACCACATTCCAGACGTTCACCACCGCGCAGCCCTCAGTGCAACCCTCACGTTACCCTGCAGGAGCGGGCAGATGCCAAACCCATGAGCTTCAGAGATGGCGCGAGGATGAACATCGGTTCCCGCCATACCAATATTGTGACCGCAATGTCCTCTGGCACAATACTCAAGCGCCCCGCCCTGCCAGCATCTCCGAGAGAGAACGGGCTATGGGATATCCACTTGGGTATACCTCCAACTGTATGCCGAAGTCCGAAGCAAAGAGCTGCAAACGGCATCTTGAGACCGTTCGTCTGAACCTTATCGGAAACTCCTCGAGTGTTGCGGTGGTTGGATTCCTGCTTCTTCAGTTGTTGGCCCCTTTGAAGTTGTGCCTTGTCGAGACCTTGGAAGGGTTGCTTGATACATTGTTCCGTGATCGCCCTCCTCAGGGAGATTGCTTACTTTCGTGGCATAGCCTTGGAAGGAATCTCCGAGCACCGCCAGGGAGTGGCGAGTCACTCACGCACAAGTTGAGTACCCTCATGTCGTCAAAGGGCCAGGATATCATGTTGCAGATGTCCAGCGATGCTCGATCGCAGCAGCGGTTCCGCAACACCATTCCTGCCAACCTCTGGTCCTGGCGGGAAATCTGCGGGTGGCGATGGCCGGACAAATCCGGCGATCACATCAATCGACTGGAACTTCGTGCATTGTATACGGCCCTGCGTTGGCGAGTCCTGCGACTGCGGCAAATCCGAATTCGCTTTGTCCACTTGACTGACAGTATGGTGTGTCTTCATCTTCTACGGCGGGGACGGTCTAGCTCCCGCAAGTTGCAATCTCTTTTGTACCGCGTGTCATCTTTGATCTTGGCTACGGGACTTCAGCCGTTCATCGCGTACGTCCATACAGACTCCAACCCGGCCGATCGGCCGAGCCGTCGCGCTCGGGTCAAGAAGAAATGGTTAAAATGACCATTGTGGCCGGGCGTACGCGAGAAGAACGGAAAGTGTCCCGACAAGCTTTGGGGACTCTACGAGCCAACACAGTCAAGCCAAAAACTAGACAGCGGTACCAATCAGCCTTGCGCAGTTTCTACCTTTTCTGTCAAGTCCGGCGCCTTCGTGTTCCCGATGAGGGAAGCCAGCTTGATGACTTGTTTTCTGATTACATAGAGCACCTTTGGGAGGAAGGCGAAAGCCTTTCTCTGGCTACCGATGGGTTGTCGGGTTTACAGGACTTGCGCCCCCGACTTCGAGGGACCTTGTGTTCCTCGTGGCGACTCGTCAAAACCTGGCAGTGCAATGAGGTTCCGCAAAGAGCACCACCTCTACCAGAGGACCTTTTGCAGACCCTTTGTGGTTACTTTCTTTCGAAACAACGCCCAGACACTTCTCTGGCGTTGGAAGTTGCGTTCTACGGAGTTCTCAGAACAGGGGAGCTCCTTGCTTTGAAAAGCAGTCACGTTGACGTCTCTCCGTCGGCAAGTTGTGCTGTGTTGAACCTGGGTGCCACTAAAACATCCCAGCGTGTCGGCGCCAGTGACTCAGTCACTCTGTCAGTTGGCCCAGTTTGTGCCCGTTTGAAGGCATGGAAGGAGCGTTCTAACTCCACTCGGTTTTTGGTGGCGTCAGAATACCAGTTTAGACGTGACTTTGCTGCAGCCTTGCAAGAGCTCGGACTGGATGCTTGGGCATTCAGGCCGTACAGCCTCCGCAGAGGCGGGGCTACTATGTTTTTTCGCAAAGGCACCAGCTTAGACAAAGTCAAACTCTTGGGCAGGTGGGCCTCCGACCGGACGGTGAGAATTTACATCAACGACGGATTGGCCCAGCTAGCCTCAATGCAATATGACGTTCACAAACCGCCTCTCCAGCAGTTCTTTTCCCGCTACTTTGAACGCCAGCGACTTGATCATAGAATGACTGCTAGGGGACGTGGATAAGGGGGCAAGCTCTTTTGTACCTTGCCTACTTGCTTAAATTGTAAAAGTAGTCGCCTTGGATTGGTGTCTACAGTCCACAGACTTTTGCTGCAGTAGCCCCCTATCCAAGACTTGTAAGATTTGTAATGCTTCCATCGGTGATGACTTGTAAAGGTGGAAGCAAATCCGGGTGGAGCCTTCGTGTGCGAAGTCTTTCCTAGTACAAAACCCTCGCTCCGCTGAGAGAAAAGAGAGGGAGTGAATCAGTGAGCCTTTGATCATTCGTGTTCACGTGTGTTAAGGCGAACTTGAGCGAAACCTCTTTCGTGTAGTCGCTGGTTTCTGCTCACCCTCCCTCGCCACCCACAGGCCGGCTGCTGTTCGCCTTCGAGAAGCGTACACCAGCTTTTGCGGCCGCTACAGCTTTTGAGTTTCTTTCCTGTTTCTTGCCACGGTGCTCCCCGGATCGGATAAGGGGGCAAGCTCTTTTGTACCTTGCCTACTTGCTTAAATTGTAAAAGTAGTCGCCTTGGATTGGTGTCTACAGTCCACAGACTTTTGCTGCAGTAGCCCCCTATCCAAGACTTGTAAGATTTGTAATGCTTCCATCGGTGATGACTTGTAAAGGTGGAAGCAAATCCGGGTGGAGCCTTCGTGTGCGAAGTCTTTCCTAGTACAAAACCCTCGCTCCGCTGAGAGAAAAGAGAGGGAGTGAATCAGTGAGCCTTGAACCTTAGGCCCTAAATCGCGCACCGACCAGGTCACGAAGCTGAAGAAGGCGAAGGTTGATGATGACGATGGCTGGTTTCACGACAGCAGTACAGAGTGGTCCAGAAGAGATGGATGGGGGGGGGGCATCTGGGGTTTAGGGTTCTGAGGTTGGAGTGTCGGAGAAGTACAGAAACTGTTGATGCCTCTTTACCGTGTGTCTGGCTTGCGAATCTGCTAGAACAGAGTGTGATAGACGATGGCACGTCAGCTTTGACGAATGCCGACTGCCCAGGTAAGTGAACAGCGCCCGAGACTTCTCCGATGTGAATAGTCCTGCAAGATTGTCCGGTGCTCTGCACACAGCTTCACCTATTGATTCATTTCAGGTTTCCGTGCCTGGCGTGCCTACATGCCATTCAGGGAATTGCAGTATGGTTCGTAGAAACACGGTATGATGTTTCAAGCTATGCGGCTTACCTGAAGCTTAACGGCTTCTTGTCCCTGCGCCGAGATTGATCTCGATGCATGGGGCGTTTCGCGTCTTCGTGCGCCAGCTTGCCAGCTTCACTGAAAGACAAGCATGTATCGCCGCGACGCAATTGCGCCGCCAGGATCAGACATAAAACGACATATTTCATGGCTTCCGCCAAGCCAACAGAGTCGCTGGCCCCATAAAGCTCCGATTTTCAGTCTTGATGAGCAGTTCTCGGCCATCATCGAAAAGCCCGAGCCCAGGCGCTTACAGACCAGCACTGCAGTGCACTCCCTGATCTTTTCATTCGAGACGAAGCAAGAGTAGCGTCATGCGTGTCGCTGCCGAGGCTCCTTCAGCAGGAAGCCATAGCCAGAGAAAGTTCTAACAGCCTCTACATGAGCTGTGCATAGCTGTGCTATTCCGACATCTCTGACATACTTTTCAGCTAGGCGAGAACCCAGAGGATACTATGCACACCTAGTCAAACGATGTCAAACGAACACGCATGTTTCAATTACGAAACACGAAGTTTGGGTCGTGGCATGAGAAATGCGGGCGACAGCCCGGCCGTAGAATTGATCATCCCGGAGGTGCCTGTGACATCGTGTTGTCGCAGTAGTAAGGATAAAGGCCCACTAGTGCAAATTCAGGAGTGACAGGCAGAGATTCATCTTGTTTGTAAGGGTGTCGCCATGTAGGGTTGCCAAGCAGAGACTTGTGTGATCAGTGAGCGGAGCTGTCGGTGCCAATGCGGATGCGGGCGAGCTGCGCTCAACATCATGGGATGGCTTTCGTCACTCTGGCTCCTGCCACAAGCAGGCGCTGGACATGCGAAACTCGGGTTTTCTGAGACCGGAGACAGTAGAGGACATCATGGTCAACAGATTTATCAGCATCCTCCCGACAGCAACAGTCGGCATCATCAAAAGTCACATAGTGCAGTCATCACAGTCATCCCGCTCGTCGTCTTCATCAGTCATGGGTCGCAGACATCATGAGTGTCAATGCGGCTTTCTTTGAGTTCGGGCTAGAGCTGCGGTTTCGGACGGCGCATTCATCTTGATGTGTCCAGAGACGGGATGCTCAAGGAGCCAACGGCTCTTCCTCGGAAGTGTAAGTGCTGTTTTCATAGCGGTCACAGCGATGATGACCGGAGTTCAGTGATCACACCAACTAGTGATGATCGAACCAATGGAAGCAGTCATATCCGTGGTGATAGCATGCATGCTCATCACATTACTGAGGATGTAATGACAGTCAGCAACGGGGCAGGCACGGCTTGGCAGCGACAGTGGTAACAGTGATAATCGGCAGGTATTGAGTAGTAGTAGTTGTCATGGGAGTCGCAAATAGCAGCGGTGGTCACGTGATAGCAAGAGTTTCAGCAAGAACAGAAGCGAAGCAAGGAGAGCGGCATCTTCAATAAGCAAGAGCATCAAAGTACCTGCACATACAAGACCAGTGATATCGGTCAGGACAGGGAAGGCAGCTTGAGGACCAGTGTCTGTCCCGAGTTTTTCCTGTCTCAGGTACGTCTGGGCTTAATAGAGAAGCTGCCATTTTTCGCAGTTGGCAAGGCCTTTGCCTCGAAGCTCCGTGGATGCTCCAGGAGAAGTTGCCGCCCCAGAGGGGATACGACAACGACCGGAGTTTTGCGACGGCACCGTTATTGAAGTGACTTCGGGGCTTATGCGCCACCTGGGCTATGCCGCTCGAAGCAAGACCGCTTGTCGGCAGTTGGCGTTAGCTCAATCATCTCGTACACGCCTCCGAGGCTGCAGAAGGCCAGAGAGCTTCTAGAGATTGCGTTCCGTCAGCCCAGCGCGCGACACTCAGATCTTCGACAGCGAAAGTTGTGGGTGAAAAGGCAGACATGGCAGACATGCGGTCGTAGTACGCGGTAGCAGTCGCAGTACACGACTTTTCACTTTGGTCTAAGCAGCAAGCAGAACTTAAGTGCAACGACCTGATGAAGCCCAAAGGCGCTTTCCGTGCGCTTCTCGCGAGGTGGTGGATATCACTGGTGTCAATTCCATCATCTCGGCTCTCGGGCACCTCGAAGAGGCCCAGTGCGTTTCATCTTCGGAAATTTCGGAGCCCAAAGACTTGGTGCAGGTGCTCGCGTTTAGTATGCGGCCGTTGTTCGTTGTCGAGCAGATCGCAGAAAAGCGCCCCGCAAAGGATTTCGTTTTTCTGATAGCCTGAGTGGAAAGTCTTTGCTGTGGATACTGCAGTCATGTGCTAGTCGACAAACGGGGCTCATGCAAGGATTTCAGGCTTATTCACTGATGTTTGTCACGACAAAAGCCTGAGTTGCTGCGACGACGACTACGAAAGTTTCGAACACTGGCCCGACTGGCAGGATGACGGTGGTGACGCCCATGATGGGCATTCGTGATGATGATGATGACGATGATGATGGTGATGATGGAATTTCAATAGATGCCCCGGCCATAAAGGCAATAATTTCATGCCTCGGCGAGTTTTGGCAAAGTTGGGAATGGTTGTAATCGGCATGGGCGAGGCCGCGCACAAGCGTGGACCATGAAATAGCAAGAACACGGCTGCTTGGACAAGAGCAAGAAAGCTCAGCTCAGCGTCGTTTCAACTGCTGCTCCTGGCAGATTGGCCAGCGCACGACTCGCATTATGCAAGCAGGCAGGGCTCTTAAAGAAAGCTTAGCAGATGGATTCCAGGACTTGAGGCTTGTGATCGGGGTGCGAGCAGGTTCATTTCATTGATTTGGTTGTTGCCCAGCTGGGGACGTCCAGGTTACGCATTCGATTTGGTTCATAGACGTCCGACTTTGACAAACGTGCTATTCACTTGTCGGTAGCGCGCCTTGCATGCGATCAGGATATGTCAGGTCGCTCTACGATTCCGCAGGCTCGGTCTCGAGATTTCTCCTCCTGGGCTTCGGAGTTGGGCTTTAATAGTTTTGCTTTGATGCTCTGGGTGCCTGAAGTCTGGATGGAGCTGACTTGTACTTGCAACTGTTGTTTTGCCCCAAATTGGCCGATGTGCGACTTGCTTTGCAAGCTTGCGGAAAGGCGAGCTGATCTACGAGCTGTCAGACAGTGATCAGTTGGCGGTCCAGGACTGCCGACGTGGATGGGGGTGATGGCTTTTGTCTGTGCTTTCGGAGAGTCCTGAGTCTTCAATCGACCGAGTGAGAGGAGTACACCTTGAAGTACATCTTCGTGCTTGGGGACCTCCTCCCGCTCGTGCTTATGCAGCCCGAGGCCTCGTGTCGTTTGCGAGTGGGAGCCTCTTTTGGTGGATCGTCCTTGCGGCCACTGCTCCGACGGGTTTTGTGTAGCAGGGTTTCATACACTCATGAAGAGGCATCACTGATGAAGGTTTCGTCAGGCTCTTAGGGCAGAGCCCCCGGCCTGCCCCTTGAGCAGGAGATCGCGGACGTTTTCGCGCAGGACAGCGCTTGGGCTTTTGGGGCAGAGGGGCTCGCAGAGCTCGCACGCTGATGGATTGCGCCTTCATGGCCTAGTCGGGCCTAGTCTAGCCTTACGACTTCAAGCAGGGTTTGCAGCTCCGCTCGGTGTCAGGAAAGGGGTCACCCCCTGCTGCGGCGCCGGCGGATCCTCTCTACGCTCGAGACCTCGGTGTGCGAAAGTAGGATGTGTCAATGTTGAAGGATTCGGGGGAGCTGTCCCACTTGCGGATGTGTACTCTCTCTCTCTCTCTCTCTCTCTCTCTCTCTCTCTCTCTCTCTCTCTCTCTCTCTCTCTCTCTCTCTCAGATCCCGATTATGTACACTGGCCTCTCCAGACAGGGGCAGAAGATCAATAAGAATTCGGAAGCCACGCTGAAAACGTACTTGCTTGAGAAATTTTGTTAGCGGTCTTAAGCAGTTCACAGCTTGGAAGCTTCGGCTCTCAGGGCAGGGTTTCAAAATTGGCTGGGTTCTTGTCAAGGGATTTAGTCCAAGTTACCACAGCAAAGAAGCCATGTTATTTACTATGGATCCCTATCATGGTATCTTAAACTAGATTCCTTAAGAAGAGCCCAGAAAATTTGAAGGATCCCCGAAGCTTCGGACTCATGAGCCACCCAAAACGTACCAAGGCTGCGCGTTTCCTGGTGGAATATGCTTGTGAATGCCGGCATCCCAGCCATGAAGTGATGAAGTTTCATAATATAGGGGCCTTCAGAGTTACCTATACTATTTTGGGGGTTCCTTGTTGTCATTATACCTTATTCTAAGTAGAAAGGCCCCTACATTACTTGTAGGGTTTGATGGGGTTGAACATTGCACAACAGGAGGTTTGTTGGGTGTGGTGGCCGGCCCGATGAGTCTCTTTGGTGGGAAATGGGAGGCTGGCAATTGGCATGTTGCAGTTGATGATGTTCGTGATGACTCTGATCGTGAAGAGGAGGGAAAAGATGACGCCCCCTCGAAACGGTGGCTATGTTGATGGTGAGGCGGAACAGGAGGGCGGGCCGACACCATGACGGGACGACGGTACCAGCGTCCATGAATGTATTCTTGTCCCGCTTGTTGTGCTGGTGTTGGACCTGCTGATGTTGCCGGCAACCCGCATCAAAGCCTAAGGCTACCTCAACGTCAGCCGGACTGTACAAGCGGCAAGAGTGCAACAGTGGAAGAGTAACCTGAACAGAGGGACAGCAATGACAGTTCTGTCTGGTGCTGGAGCAGCAGAATGATTCGGTACTGCCATGGGTCAGAAATCAGATCATTTTCCATAGTGAAACACAGAAACATCAAGCCGGTGAAGCATAAGTTGACGTGTGCTTGAGCACCGGCCAGAAGGCCCAGACCCTCATCTGTAAAACCCAGCTGCGCTCAACAAACGCCCTGGGCCGAGAACAGCACCTGGGCTGTGCCATTCTTTGGGGGCCTGGCTGCTGTCGTCCTCGCCTCGGCAAGAACTGCGGAAGCTGTGGAATCGTTCGTTCTACTGCCTTCGTAGGTTGGGGAATTCCGAAACTTATGCGGGCGCTTTTCGTTGAGGATGATCATAATGAGGATCACGTCATGTAGCTTTCAGACTCGAGCTCCCGGATTCCACGGCCCTGAGCCTGCAGTTGTGACCGGGAGGCATTTCGCTTCACCCGAGACGAAAGTTCGCAAGTTGCCTGAGAACCGAGGAGAGGGCGTTGCATGCGGCGCCCGGTGCTCGACCTCACGCTGCAGGCTTTCATGACTGGTCAAAGGTATGCAGCCGTTGTACTATTCATTGTCGTTTCTGTCGAAGTGTTCGACGGCTTGGAATTGGCAGCTATCGAAGGCGCGGTCTGCGGTTTTCGGCAATGCCAAAGTTTCAGGTTATCTTGAGGCACGAGCAATTGCAGCGATGGTAGCAAGAGCATTCCAAGCTGTACAGGGAATGGTTGTTTATGGAGGCAACTCTAACTAACAGAACTAACACAGAAACACACAGCAAGGGGGTGGCCCTAAACCCTAAACTCCAAACCCTGACCCCTAGGCCCTGAACCCTGAAACCTAAACCCTAAACCCCAAACCTGCAAACCCTAAACCCTAAATCCCAAACCCTAAACCTCTAAACCCTAAACCCTAAACCTCTTAACCTCAAATTAAAGCAACAAAAGGCCACAAACCATTTTGACGTCCCCTGAGGCTGCCAGACTACTCCGAGCCCTATCGGGACCGAACTCGCGTTGAGTTCTGCTAATGTAGGTGCCTGAATAGTTATACTTATAGGTATAATTATAGTATATATATATATATATATACACACTATATATAAATATATATATAATTGCTATTTTTGGGTTCCTTATTATAAGTAACTCTAGTATTCGTGGGCCCGAAAAGTGGGCCCGAAAGCCCTATTCTAAATAAACGGCCCCTCTTTTAGATTCTTCCGCACTTCGAGGGAACAGAGCCTTCTCAGAAGGCGATTCTCCAAGGTGTTTTGGGATTGAGCTGCGAGTGGTGGTAACCAGCATCAGAAGGTTTTTCATGACGAGCTTCGATGGATGCAGGATGAACTTCTACATCAGGCCGCCCAATCAAAGAGGTCTCAGAAAGCCTGGGCCCCAATCCAGCAGAGTTGTGAATGTATTGGTCAACTTGGGAGTCAAAGTTGGGCCAACACAGAAAAGCCGGGAGCCAAGCAGGCTTCGCGCCTGTCTGGAATTTGGCTCTACGAGGACTTGCGGAAACTAGGATCGCTCCACCATTGAGTTTTGCCCAGGTCTTCGGATCCAGTTTTCGAGCACACGCCTGAGAAGCCCATCGTGCCGATTGCCGTGCGGTAGCAATGTGTGTGTTTGATTCATTGAGACTCTGCGGCAGCGATGTGAGTCGGCCACATGGGAGTTTCCCAAAATAAGTGCCCTAATTCAGGACCCCAAATAGTAGGATCCTTATTATAAGGACTCCAAAACAAGGTACCCCTAGTTTTCGGAAACCCCCACATCCCGAGGTGCAGGGGGAGCCTGTGCTCAGCTTCGCGCTGTCCCGGGAGGCTTGAACTGTCCATCATCCGTGAGGATCCAGGAACTTTCACATCTGCTAGTGAATTGTTGAAAAAGGTGCAGCTTCCTTAAACACTAAAACCCTAATTGTACTCTAAATCGTGGGTTTGGGGTTTAGGGGTTGCTTGACGCATCAGGCCCCAGCCACTGTTCCCTTTACATGTCTTGCAAACTCGGCCGTTGCGCTGCGCCGCTGCTTGCCCCTCAGCTCTGGTGTTCTTCGTGACGTAGCAGGTTAGAGAATTCTGGCTTCTACTAGCAATGTGCCACTGGCTTGAGACTTGAAGCACTAATGACTGCAGAACTCACATTTGCAGTGCACGTCCTTGTGTGTCGACGCGTTTATTAGTATTATCATTGCCAGTATTATTGTTGTTAATTTTGTTATTGTTGTTATTATTATGTTATACATATATAGACGCGCAGACACAAACACACAGAGACTTTTCACACTTGTCGATTTGCATACATAGACTCAGACACACACACACACACACACAACTATTCTTGTAGTTGGCGCAGACTTTTCTCCCTGACCAGGAAACATACCGCAAGGCATGTTCCTGGCTGGTGGCTGCCGACAGCAAGTCCGCCATCGAGGCGAAACAGACAGTCCTCGAAAGTACTACATAGCAGATTGGCCTAACAGTACAACAGTATACACAACACTAGCAACGGCAGAGCATGGCAGAGCTAGCATTCTGTATATTCCTAGGGCATTGGGTGTAGGTTTGCGATGTGCAGACAGACAGCGTTTGCCTTTTCCCAGCAGTGCGGCGCTGGCCTGCACCTTTCGCTGGTGACCGATAGAGCAGATCTCTCTTGTACCTGCAGGTGGCAGAGCGACACTTCCGAACTTTCTACGAGGCAGGCAGGCTGGGTTCGTTCGTGTGTAAACACCTTTCTTTTGCTGTGTCTAGCATAATGTGCTACGTAAACATATCTTGTCGTGATATTAATTATGTTTTACACCTGCCGATATCGTACCGCATGCGACGCAGCATCCACTACATAGCACTTATCACAGAGTAAATGTTCTTGTCGCATGTTGCAGTAGGACTGCCAAGGAGCTATTTTCATACTGTAGCAGTCGAATTGTGAATATGCGGAAAACAGCAGTAAATCCAAGTCTCATGTCAACAAAGCAGGCCAGGACAGTCCGAGTCGTCGCACTGTGCCCGCCAAGGTAGGAATACTCGCAGGGGTAGCACTAGCACGACTAGTAATAGTGGCAACAGTGTAGCAGTAGCGAAACAAATACAATTTAAAGAAGCAGCCGTATCTGGCAGTTGCTACAGTGTGTTACGCTTACTGATAAGAGTTCCCACAGGAGCGCAGACATAGTTATGGCAGGAGCAGCGAAGATAATGCGACCGAAGCAGTTGCACCTGTTCTAGGAGGCGCACTGTAATCGTCGTATGCCCATGGTGCAGTATAGTAATGGAAGCAACCATAGTAGCGTCATGATCGCTTGCACTGAGAATACGCTTCCGCCCCACCTCAAACTGCAATCCTGCGAAGTCGACCTCTGCAATGCGTGCACTTGTTTTAGTGCCAGGACTCTTTGAACCGGGTGTTCCAGGCCGCTGCTAGATGGCCTGTGCCCTCACGGGAGACCTAGATTCCGGGATCCCTAGATCTTATACAGATACTGGTACTATTGACTGCGGCATTTGCCTTGCATGCGTGCTTGCTTGGATTCCTCGTGAGCCTGTGCATGTATACATGATACATGGAGCGCAAAATCCATTGCACAGCAGTCCTGTCATCGAGGTATTTGCCATGCTTCACCGCCTTGCGCTGCGGCCCCGGCTAGAGGCTTCGGAACCCCATCTCCTCTTAATTAGTCCTGATGACGCTTCATTATTCTGAGCAGGAAATGTTATTGGGACAACTAAAAGCAAAGACAGCAGGAGTTCCTGGAACAGATGCTTATAGCATACGATAGTTTTAGATGTAGAACCAAAATGCCTTCTGGCAAAGAGTAGCAGAGTGAGAACCAGCGCAAGAGGTGTAGCATCTAGAGTACCAGAGATCTAAGTGCCAGACTTTTTCGCCAGAACGATGACCAGCTGCTGACAGAGCCAGCGGAGGAGATGAGACGGAACCTCAGAAAGTACTGCAGACAGGTGACTTCGGGAATATGAGGGCAGTGCTTTGCAAGCCGATGGCCACAGAGTTCTTTCAGTGTAGATCCCATGTCCGAAGTCCACAAGAACCCCAAGCCTCAAACTGGCCATCACTGCAATCTGTCGGGGCTTTAAATTCTTGTGGCTGTCGGACCTCCCGCCGCCCAAACTAGGCGAAAACCGAAGTTCCGATCGTTTCGCAGTCGTCGGATTCACTCCTGTTGTGCCCTTTGAAACCTGTCAGTCAGACTTAGCAGCCGCTTCCGGCAAGCCTCTCCTAGCTTTCGCTCGGTGATTCTAAGTTGTAATTAGCAGCACCAGTAGCAACAAGCGCAGTTCACCGTTTCTCATGCAGTCGTGCTTCTAGTCATGGCGAAGATTCCAGCAACAGCGACGCACAAGCGTACAGTACTCAGGCGACGAGAACGGGACTCTGAGCCCACCCAGGAACGAAGCAGCGGGGGACCAAAGGCGGCGGCTCCCTGCACCTTCAGGTTTTCTATCATGTAAAACGATACTGTAGCGCAAAACCATATTGAAAAAGGAGACCCGTACATATAAGCATGTCTTGACAAGGGAAGAGAGACGAATGCTGCTATGTTCGGTTGTGCAGCCGTGATTGACGCGAATATGTGGCTTCTTCAAGATTCTGTTGCCACTGTGGTAGCTAGGGGCCAGTGGGATAGTCGAGTAGAGGAAAACTGGTGATTCGCGCACATGCCCTGCAAGCTAAATCAAAGGTGTCTTCTTCGTGCCGAGCCTGCACAAACCAGAACCCCCATGTCAACGATGTGTGATAATTTCGAAATGGGTGATGATGACCAGTATTACCGGGAGGATCATGATAGGATAGCCATAGTGATGTCGCAATGATGGCATTCAAAATCCATCAGTGCATACTTATCGCCTATCGACATGACTGTTGCCGCCGTTACTATCTGCTACTGGTCCTCAAGCGCTTGCCGCGTCTGTTGGTAGAAGCAGAGGTTCACTAGCTTTCGCGCGCAACCAGGAACTTTAGCAGCTTTCCCTGATGAGGTCCTAACAGCTCTACACTCTTCCACGTGCGCGTGCTTGTTTTCAGGATGCCCCCCGCCAAAGCGCTGGAGTTCTATCGGGTGTACCACGCCGGCTCCTGAGGAGAACTGCTCCGGACGGAGCTATAGCATCGGGGCGGGATGCCCAAGCCCTGCCGCACCTGCAGCATCTTAGTGGCCTCTTCCGCGTAGCGTCAGACTCTCCCAGAC